TGTAACTCTCATACCAGGGATCATCTGAGCGTCAAGCTCTCATCTTCCGTATTGAACACATTCGCCTGACGATGGAACATGGTCTCTGCGAGGTTCTTCACATTACTATGTCATGATTCATTTGTATATCCTTGACTCAAGTCAGTTGAACCACTTCCAATCCGCCCACCCAGCTCCCTGTACTTGGAATCATGTACTGATGATCGTATTGTAAGATGGGGTGGAGGTTTTACGTTTATATAGTTGAATTTCGTGTTTTTCTTGTTTTTCTTCTTTCATAGGGGTGTAATATTCATGCATTCATTAATATATCTATGATGTCATTTTTGTGGATGGTGGGATTGTTTGCTGATTCTATTGCAGGTTAGGTGAGTGAGTGAGTTTTAGCAATATATCACGGCGGGTAACACCAAAAATTGGCTTCACACGTTGTACCCATGTGGGGGTTCGAGGTTTGTTTCTTATTCAATTGTTTTTACTTACTGTTTTTGTTCTGTTTTGTATTTTTTTTCTCTAGATTTTGCTTTTACTGTTAGTTTGATTGTTAACATACATATATAATTTTGTATTTAATATTCTGTTTGTTTTTGTTTTGTTGTCGTTGTTTTGTTTGTTTGTTTGGATTGTTATTGCTCAAAGAATGTTTGATTTCGTTTATTACTATTTACTTGTATAACATATGCTAACACAAAATCAAAAACTCACAAACAGTTACTATAAAGAAAACACATTGCTAAAAACCGCAGAGATTTCGCGAAGACTGAAGCGTGATATGGACAGACATTGGTTATATTCTGAATTTCGCTGCCTCTGTCCTGTGAAGACATGGGGCATGGAGACGGTATTTTACTAGTGCTTCTCTCAGCTGTCACGCCGTATCGCCACCAGTCACATAACAAACGGGCTGAACACAACACTGGGTACCACCACAGTCCCTGTGACGAATGTCAGAAATGCAATATCCTATATATATTTACACAAGAGGATATTTAATATCTGACTTTCGTACTATTAGCTGCCCTTTCTTCATTCGTTTTTGACAGACAAAATACATCAGGTATGTCATATTTCTCATATTCTCTTGTATCGATGTTTTAATATATGTCCTTTTAACATACCTCGATTTTCACCTTGGAAATGTTTTCATTCAAAGGAAACTGTACAGTACTATCACAGGCCCTTGTGTCGTTGCTCTAATATTTCTATAGCAATACATAAATGTCTTTACCTAGGTGTAATACGACAATGCATTTTGACACTTTTAACTAAATGAGCTATACTTAAACCTAAAATTGCCTCCATTACACGACATATCCCTCCAATAAGGATGGAATGGGAAGCCCGTATCTTTCGTTTATTGGCGACCTAGCTTCGTATATTGGCGACTTTATCGCGTGTATTGGCGCCCTAGTTTCAAATACTGACGCCCTATTACTGCCCCGGTCCTAACGCTGAATCCAAACAGTAATACCCCCATTACTGAAATACAGAAACAAACTCAATGTTTTCATCCATTTATTACATGGGAGGACACAACGCATGGGCTTGACACATTGTGCTGCAGGCGCTATAACGACTAGGGTACCTCACTTATTAATTACGTCTATGGGCGGTGAGGTAGCCTAGTGGTTAAAGTGCCGCGGCGCGGGTTCGATTCCCCAGTCATCACAACCCACTGGCCTGCAGTCAAGTTGTACATACATTGCATACAAGCTGCACTGTAGCCGTCGTCATGTTTTTTTAATGAATATATGTTTTTGAAATAAAACCCATTTTGACTCTGTACTTACAATGTTTATTATGCAGACTTGTTCTCGTCACTTTATGGCTGGAATAATGCCGATGTGACGTAAAGCCCAACTCAACTCAACTCTAAACAAACTATTTTTAAAACGATATGAATTTCATTTTTTTTTTAAGATTTTAAGTAATCACCATATTATTCACTCACTTCAATGACATGTACTTTTGGTCAAGTCTATATGGACAACGGCCCGTTCAAATAAAAAGCGGTTTCAAGCAATTTTTCTGGGGTGTCACCCCAAGCAAACCCAACTCCCACAATGCATCCTCCTCCTGTGGTGTGATGACGCTAGCTTGTCTAGCCTTCTAAGCATGCCAAAACCAGCCCGTGCCAGTGATTACATTTTAGCGTCTAAAATGGTTCTTAAACCCCTAAAAGCAAAATCGGTGGCTAGGTTAACATCTAGACCACTTTGGCGCAAGAATCTCTGCATCGAAATAAGAATCTCATGAATTATGCTGCCCTTGTATTGACCTCCCCTTTGGTTCCTTACCCGTGAAGCTCCGGGTTAGAATATTGGCTTTCAGTAACCCATGCTTGTCGTAAGAGGCTCGCTGACCTGGTTGACACATGTCATCGGTTCCCAATTTCGCAGATCGATGCTCATGCTGTTGATCACTGGATTGTCAGGTCCAGGCTCGATTATTTACAGACCGTCGCCGCCATATAGCTGGAATATTGCTGAGTGTGGCGTAAAACTAAACTCACTCACTCATTTGATTCCTTACTGCTGTGACAAACAGACTCAGCGTCCTATTCAGATCTTCATCAGAAATACTTAATAATTTGCTGCCTAACTGGGATTCAAACCCATCCCTTTCACGCAGCCATTCCTCATCCGAAGAAATATTCCCAACGGCATCTACATGATTTTTGTCCCCTTGCAGAGTGATATCAAAATTGACACTCGAAATACTTCCATTCAAAAGCTTCGGACAATGTATTAAGTTTGAGTGACAAAGACATCGCATAAAGAACCACATTCGCCTGACATGGTTGAAAACATCTGGTGAAATGGATGCAGTAAAATATTTCGTTTGTTTTGTACCCCTCCAATACGCTGCCACGTGCACAGTAGAGCGTGTTCATAGCGTGTGTATCGTGCATACCGTGTTACCCAGATGTAGGACGCCAATATTAATATTGCTGTGTTCGGGTGCAAGAGTTATGAAACTAGGGCGCCAATATGTATGATTTTAGGTTTAAGGGCAATAAACTCCTCAGACTCGCCAATATTCGTAACGGCCTCGGACTCAACCAGCCGCGCGAATATTGGCGAGTCTTCGGAGACAACGGAAACACAATGTGAGTATTTACATATGATGAATAAGTGTGGCGAATGAGGAAAGTGTGTATTTGGTAAAAGTTTAAGATATTGTAGGTAATGAAATAATAGATAGTACAATGGGGCAAATATGAAATAAGTGGTACTAAAATTAAGACTAGGATTCTATTATGTATATGGAATAAATGCAATGTGAAAAGTAAACTTGGTTTTCCAAAGTATGTCAGAAAGTATGTTTTTCTCCAACCAAATTTACAGATGTCATCATTCCCAATTGCGTAGATCAATGCTCCTGCTGTTGACCACTGGATTATCTGGTCCAGACTCGAATATTTACATATAGATGGAATATTAGGGCAAAACTAAACTCACCCATGTACTCCAACCAAATTTGATTGGACATGTGTTATATTTAGGATTATACAATGCCAGTTAAAAAGTGACGGCTGAGTGGGTTAGATCGCCGACTTTGTCTGCTGGCTGGTTAGGTGCCTGGGTCCCGATCCACAAAACGCTCGTAGCGCAACATTTGTAAGCCTATGATAAACTATAGGGTTACGACAGGTCGTATCATTACGAACGCTTTGTGGATCGGGACCCATACTCGGAGAGTGTAGGTGGGACTCAACCCCTCAAAAGTGTACCGGTAATCCCATATATAACATGTTATATTGGACCACTATCTAAATGGGATTGTGTATTCATAAATCTGATAATATATTCAGCAATACTAACAATTGTTTTCAGCCACTCATCTGCCCAACATTGGATCATTTATGTATCATTTATCTCAAGGTGATTTCTTTTACAATATGGGCTGTTCTGTCACAAGTGTAAATACACACACGGGCTTGTAACGCAACAAACTAGCATCAAGGTATGCGTTGTCAATACCGGGGTCTTACCACTCTATAACATACATTAAAAGCACGTGAGTACGTGCATGTCCGTTTTATGATAGCCACCGATACCATGTTCCATTTCAAAATGGCTACCTTGTTATACAGATTCGGAGACAACCATTCTAAATTTCCCCTGCAGGCAAGATAACAAGTATCACATTACCGTGTTTTGTTACGACAGGATCCAAGTAAATTGGCCTGACACTATTCCACCAATTCAAGTATTTCAGAATGAGGATCGAACAGCAATCACAGGTTATGTACATCCCCAAGGGACGCAACTCTGGACGACTTGGGGGTATGGGCAATTGGAATCCTAAACACAACTAGAAATATGTTAAGACTCTTTGGAGTCAGCAGCCTGTCCTTTCCGTCATGACATAATAGGTCCCAAGAAGTCATGTTTGTTGATGTTGATTAATATGAGAATGTGTTCGAACACTTACAACACATAGGATTGTCGAGTGATACATCGGTTTGCCTGGTGGTGATCTGGAAATGAAATATTTGACCAGTATCTTTGGAGCAATCTTCATTAACTCGTATTCAAGTGTTAACAAAACTGATGTTGGAAGATCCAATCAATTGGTATTTATTTTCCTACTTGTACCTCATTTACTTAACGTATATAAACAAAATAACCTGAGGCATACAGTAACCATATAATTCTTGTCAAATTCTTTCTAAAATGAAAATTCTTGTACATCCCTCTGGACACTGAATATTTTATCTGTGTGTAAGTGATTTGTGGAATAATCTGCTGAGCCAACTCCAACCAGAGAGTACAGCAAAACAATGAGCAGCATCTCCCCCCTCATCTTATAATGTATATTTCTACATTGTGTAATCTGTGGCCAGTGTGTCCCCACTTTCTTCTGATTCCTCTGGCAAAATACATAGGACATCATAAGCCAACAGGCAAAATACTAAGTGTTAGTTTTGTTCACAGCAAAATGTTAATTTCTTTAAAAAAACAAAAAAAACATTCAGCCAAAAATGCAACAAACACTACTGTTCTAACAAGTTTTAATCTTGTAAACAATTTCGTATCATACAGTCTCAAAAATGCCATCAGCTTGTGAAGTCTATGAAGGCTGAGCTCGACACGACAGTCACACGAACATGGAAATATATCTTTATTGAGAGGACAGCAGGTCCTGATGATGAACAGACTATAGTACAGACATGTTAGGAAACGGAGAGGATTTACAAGAATCTACAATAAATAGTCTTAGGAAGCAAATAAGAATTTACCATACATACAGCAATGTACACAAATAAAACAGATGTTAAAATCCTTTGATGTATCATGTTAATTAGTCAAAGATGGTACAGGGTAGAAAACTAACTTGTGTTATTCCACTTTATGAATCTGATGGCTAACACAACCATTTCAAGATTTGATTCGTTCTTCTATCTCTTAAGCCTTCAATACAGTCAGGTTAAACAGTGGTTTACAGAGTCTCAGATTGGCTTCTCCCAAATAGCACTACATCAAGTCCATGCTAGTTCCAAATGCTGACATACAGCACTTCACTGCATCGTGGAGGTTGTCGCACATGTCGACAAATCTGAATCTTGGACGCAGCATGTGGCTGTATTTGAATGTTACAATAGTAAGCAACGTTCCAGGCACTCCACTGTTGTTGGCATACACTCATATAATCCACCATTCAAAATGTATATGTACAGATGCAAATTTCAAAATAGGCTTATAAAATTCAGGAATCATTAGTCTGACATTGTCCAGGGCGCGATGGAACCCATCCCTAACGTGCCACATAATGAATATTGCCTAGAAATCACAAGTTTCAGTTGATGTACTGGGCCATCCACCGGAAGCCTTCACCATACCCTTGTCGCTTCAACACACTACACATAAACAATTCCATTGGCCGGGAGGGAAGGTCGGCTCTGGATACCTGGCCCTGAAACAAACAATTAAAACTGGATGTCAAAGAAAGTCATTTTAATAAATATTGGATAGGTAACTTTCAGCAACATCAGTTAATGAAGTCTGGAACATTTTTATGTCACTGGGGTGTGGTGACCCATTTATGTATGTATTACTAACAAACACAGCATTCTAAACATAATTCATAAGCAGCCCATGTATAAAGATGTAACTCTGTGTGTTAATCAAAATTTTATTTCCTCGTAATTATTTACCGAAAATATTATCAATAATAATTTTCACTGATAATCATTAAAAATTCTTCCCATTAACAAAATTCCTGATTATCAATATTTTAATCAGCATAATATATACACATCAATGCACACATACAACATATATACATATAGCAATACACATATTTCAGATGATCTGATGTAACATTAAATTTTAACGATTTTGCTGTCAAAACTTGTTAACTCTTGTGAGCCATTTATTAAAAGACATGGTACAATATGAAGAACCATAGGACCACACTGGTGTTCAAATGTAAAGTAATTACGCTGTCGGCCCTTTGGCCCCAGGTAATCCGAATAACTGGATGACATCTAGGTATCCCTGTACGTACCCTTCCTGTGGTGTGTCCATGCAGCTCAAACACTGCCCTTATCTCGTCCTCACTGGCAGCTCCAGGTTTGTCTATCTTGTTTCCCAGTATTAACACTGGGGCATGGGCCACCTGCTCATCGGACAGCAAACTCTGTGAACAGAACACATCAGCTGTACACCACCTTAACAAACACTACATCTCACTTAATCCAAAAAACCTCACACTCTAGAGTACTAGTATGTGCCTCTATCACTAGGCAGTCTAGAAGAAGCCAATTCTAGATAAGCAACTGGATTACAGATACTGGTAACAGCAGCATTGTTAGGACAAAGTTGAAATCTTATCATTGGTCATTTGTACATTGTCCTTTCTTTGGCTGGCTGACACACAAACAACCAACTCATGTCTTGGACTGGCCTCAACCAATCCAGTTGCACCTTAAGATAAAAAGGGATCCTTAATCCTGGGATCCAATAGTTAACAGTTGTTAAATCGTAAACATTAACAATCTTATTCCATAAACAATTCCACTCTACAATCTGTAAAAAACAGTTTGATATGTACAATACTTCTCTCAATATGTCTAAGCAACAACCACATGAGTGAGTGAGTGAGTTTAGTATTATGCCGTGACTCAGCAATATTCCAGCTATATGGCGGCTGCTGTAATAATCGAGTCTGGACCAGACAATCCAGTGAAAAACAGCATGAGCATCCATCTGCACAACCACATGAACAATGATAAGCAGGTTTATGAAAAACTTTATGATGTTTTAGGATGGTTGAGAGTATCCTGTTTCAGCAGAGTGTAGCCTGCATTGTTTAAAGATTCTAGTGGCACATACATGAAGTTCTGACTTGGCCTCTGCAAATCGGTCTCTATCGTAAGCATCAACAAGGAACACAATTCCATCAACGGCAGGAAAGTAGTCCTTCCAAACTCTTCTGGCTGAAAACAGGACGTATCATACAGTGAGAGAGCCATGTTCATACTTCAGATATATCAGGACATGTTAGCTACATGTGGACAAAGCTCGCAGTGCCGAAGGTCTTACACTTCAACCACTTGGGAAGCCACTGGTATGTTGGAGAGTAACAAACAAACATAATTAGAACTAATTCAGGATTCAAATCAACGATCATAACATCCATGCCTAAGGGACGAACTCTGAACTGCTAACTTATGTGCCTTAAGGAACACGTTTATAGACCATGATTAGGGATCTTTTTACATGCCTCTTTGAATGCTATTAAGATATTATCAAAGGGAGTCAACCTGAAGAGAAGCCCAGCTAGGTTCTGACAAAGTTCTTATGATATTTATGAATACACCTGTACAGAAACTCAAACATAACTAACAATAAATATTCTTACCAATCAGTATAGATATTTAAGACACTGACAAACTCACCTTGTTTATGTCCACCAAGATCAAAGGTCGTGAATTTCATACCGCCCATGGAGAGTTCTTCAGATGCTGTTAACAAACCAATCATATTTGTAAAATAACACCCAAAATGCATCTTCACCATGTACAGATAATACACATCGTACATCCATAATCAAATATTTTTAAAACAGAAATATTGCAAAGCAATTGACAAGTATAAACAAAAGTATAAGATAAAGGTAAATAAATGATCATAATAATCATAATGACAGAATTTTTTTTAATATCATGTTTTACATCCATTAGTAGATACCTATATTTACATCCCTTTTGGTTCATGTATGTCAACAACCATTTGTATGTCATGAAGTTAGTATGGAGACTGTTACCACGACAACAGATATTTAATGAAATGAACATCTGGAGCCACTGCTGACAATTCATTAACAGTCCATTCATTACTGTAACACAAGCCAACCTTGTTAATAGTGTTTACCCAGTTTATAATTACAAACACATGCTGGCGTTTTCACATCTTGCAGCCAAATATGTATTTTGTTTCTCTACTGAATACAAAACAATTATATTAGTCGTTCATGCATGGCTGCATTAATTAGTCAAACATGCAGAACACACATCTGTTTTTAAAGTGCAACTACGTCGTGGAAGGTAGAAGATTCCTGTAGCAGATTCTTCTGTTGGATTCCTGATTGGACATGCAGTATAATTACCCACTTATAGTATTGTAGAATTCTCTACAGCAATGAGGCAATATTTAATTTTTAGAAAGAAAAATGGTCTTAAACTTGAACCAAATTCTCCAGCAGCAACAAGGGTGTTCTTTGTAATAAAGAGTTGGGTTTATTCCCAATGAAAATGACAGACCAGGTATCATGATCTGGTCGAAAATTCGAAAGCAGGATTTACGATCCTGGCCTACCTAAGGGAGACAACTCTATACAGCATCAGAACACTGTGCTACCTATGTTCACAGTAAGTTATGAATGTTATATACAGACAGTGATTAAGGTGGCTGGATAAAAATTAGGAAGACATATTTGGTTAGATTGTCAATTACACAAAACATGCACAGGTTTTAACATCTGTCACATTCCCATCAACTGTTAGCAAGTGTAATGTATGTAATCAGAAAACTGTGATGCAGCTAGATACTTGAATAAAACAACTATGGTCTGAAAGGCTTGTAACCATGGTAACTACATGACCTACGTTGTAATACAAACATAGCCATGTCACAAAGAGTAAATTTCAAGTTTACAATATGGATTTAGATTTGATTATTGGAGGACCAAGACAATTAAGTGAAAGACATTGCTGCCTAGCAATAGTTTATTAAACACTTGTAATATCTAGATGAAGACAATGATTCCTATTTCTGCATTTAGGAAGAGTCTTGAGAATACCCTACTTATCATATTGTCACATCATGACTTTGCTCACTTTCCAAGCTGAAGATCATTAACCATTAAGAAAATTTAAATCAACTACAACTAAAATATACACACTATTCGCTTCAGATAAAAAGACAGCCGACATGATTAACTAATATTCATTTGTTGTGTTAGATCATTGCAGGTATGTTTTACATATAATTATAATCTCTTAAACCATTAACAATAACTTTGAACATCAATTCAAAATAAACCATTATGCACTGCCTGTATCAGCCAACATCCCCTGTCACCAAAGTCTACAGTTTCTGTATCCTCAGTTTCCTACAGCATTTAATCTGTTATGATCCATACCCTGGAACCATTCACAAACTACCAGCCTCAGCTCTCTTATCACTAGCTTACAATTTCCCCTGCTTGTAAGTTCAATATCAAGGACCGATCACAATGCTTCTTGTACAAGCACAGATATACAAACAAATTCAATATCCCTTCTGAGCAAGCCATTGATAGTTTTGAGTGTTATTTTCACCTGGAAAGCACTAAATGAGTGAGTTCTTCTCCATCTGTATCTAACAATATCATGACAGGGGTAACAGAAATGGGCTTCACTCATGGATTACCCTTCTTGGGAATCAAACCCAGGTATTTGGTGTGATGAGCAAACATTTTACTCACTAGGCTACACCGTACAGCCCCACCTGGATGATGTTTTCTTGAGAACAAAGACAGGGTCAATATCCCTTAGCATGTTCATCCTGCAAGACTTCCCCAGTGTATTGGAGACAGTATGCAGAAATCCAGCAACTCATTCAACCAACATTCACTGAACATACAAGTTTGGCACTGTAAATTGAAAACAAATTCAAAACAAAGGTACGGTGGCAAAAGGTTCCTGGTACATTTATCTTAAGGCGATATGGTACACGGGCTACTCAAGGATGCTGCTTGTGATGTTAGGGTCTTACTTGGATGCAGGGTGGGAACATGCTGTGCCATTCTGTCATCTTTGAGCATGTGAAGCAGGGTAGTCTTGCCAGCATTGTCTAGACCCAGGAATACCAGTTTACCAGACTTTTTATATAAACCTACAACAAAAGAAACAGCATGCTAAACACTGGCAAAATGCACCCATGCTGCACTAATCTCCATCATACTTACCATGGGATGAAGATGATAGCAAACAAACACACACATCCTCCATGTTTGGAGACACAGGGCTACACTCTAGTGTTCGAAATGAATGAGGGTCAAGGGGTCCTTCAGGTTTGTAGATGTAAACTTGGAAACTATAGATGCTTTATTGGTAAATCCTGACAAGAACCCCTTGAGTTTCTTGATTAATTTTGAACACTGCATCCTAACAAAGCCAAGCATCACTCTGCTGTCAGAGATGTCATGTATTACATGTCTTCAAGAACCAGTAGAGGTTTAAAACTTCAGCAATGATTTGGTGTATTACAAATATCTGTATTGTCAGTACAAAAGTTGTATAGCCGAAGCATGATATGGCCATGTATCAATCCACATTGATACAGTAATATGTAAGGGCACAAGTAGAATGGCATGGCAATTGTCGTTTAGATTACCAAACCCAAGTACAAGTGTTATCAAGTCAATGTTAACCAGTAATGTAATTGACTGAAATGTATACTTTTGTGTATTTTGATGTTATTAACAATGTGCCCTCATGTAGAATAATTCCCTATCAACAGTGTACCAAAAACACAGTAATCCTTGCAGTCGTCAAAAATGATAGTCGAAATATAACCATACCATTAATTATCAGAGCTGAAACTTGTTTGTTTACTGCTGACAAAATTAAACCACTACCACTATTATCATCATTATCATACTTGTACTACCGAAACTGTCACTGAGGTCAAAATGATCTTGCCTGAAACATATGTCATTAGGATATTTCCATCATATGAGCATATATTGATGTTCCATTCTACATCACCCTTACCTAAACTGAAATTCATATTAATAGTGAATGTCCTTAAAATTGAGCCAATCTGAAACACTTCAGTCTCGATACGAAACATCCATTTGTGCCTCCTGGGTTGAACTATGCCCCATGAACCCAAGCAAACAACAACAAAAAAGTTCTCTTAAACCAGTTTGTGTTAAATCTGCATGACAGGTTCCTTAGGGCATTCTGCTTCATATATGCAGTAAGATAACATCAGCCCAAGTATTTGCAAGCCAAAGTCGTAAATAATACTTCTAACAAATTCATACAGAATTGAAAACATGAATAGAAATTAGAATCATGGGGAGACATATGATCTATTGCATTGTCAGGTGTACTCTCCCACAGTGGTTGTGATTCATGACAACCCTGGTAGTCTGCTCAAACACACATACTGCACAAGCTATATATAACACATCAAGTGTTAACTTAACACATCCCAGGCCGGTGTGTCGATACAGAAACTTTACGCGATATCATAGAACGATATGATTCGATACGATGCACATCACGATATGCTATCTTTAGTTATTTTCTTTTAAAAAGTGTATCTTGATAACAAGAAACAGTGTAAATTTTGACATAACCGTCAATTTCTGGTAAAAAATCACAATTTAAAGGTCAGCGATGCGTATCACGATACGGAAAAAAGTATCGATATATTTATTGTCAGAAAAAGTATCACGATTATCGATACTACGATATATCGTCACAACTCTAGGTTTAACAGTTGCCAACAATTCCAACACACCCATATATACTCTGTTGTTTAACATCCCTGCCCCGGGCATCAAGCTCAACACTCAAGTTTTTGTTTATGTGAATGGTAGATAAAGTGGACAGGAGTTTATTTCAAATGACACATTATGTTTTCTTTCCGTCAGTATCACCACTTTAGGCGATCCCAGCCTGTGATACGATGTTGAACGTGTCAGCATGTACACATGGAAAGAGAGCAACAGCTGTGTTTTGACACAGGTGCCACAGACACAGCATTCACTAGCAGGTGAATTACTGTACAAACAGGTTGGCTTAGTGCCCAAATAGAAATGAATGCAAACATGACATTTCTATAGTGGATCGACCTCCATGGTAGACATAGAACTATTCCATTTCATAAACATGAATCTTCAGTATACTGTCGGGCATTTTTACCAAATACTGAATATATTTGTCTGTCTTTAATTCGCTACAAAGCATGTCAACATAACGGAAAATTATGCTATCTGTGGAAATCTCTGACATGCTTTTTCAAATCAGTTCAAATACATTTTTAAAATCAAATTTCAACTAAACATGGCCATGGTTAGATGATAAATTGCAAAGTTCAAACCTCATATTTTGGGAACATGGATCCCAAAATATGAGCATCAGGTAAACACACTACTAAAAAGTAGACTGAACAAGTGCACCTCCACTGTGAGTCAGCAGAAATACACCAACAAAGCTGTAGCCTGTAGATAAGCCTTGAGCATGTTGAGTAAACATGAAATAGCTGTACCAAGACAATCATAATATGCCATTCCCAGCTGGTATATCAAGAATGTCCGAGTCACTAACAATGTCAATGCTACTATGACTCAGCTATCAAAATTTAACCGCATTGTCAAACCAAGACAAACCCTATTTAACCTAAAAACAATGTCAGATAAATCTTAGTTGAAGATAGTTTTCAACTAAAGTTCGCCCTCCAATATCCAATAGTTTTCAAGTAAAGTTCACTCTCCCAGATCCAATAGTTTTCAACTAAAACTCACCCTCCACTATCCAATAGTTTTTAACTAATGTTCATCCTCAAACAAATTGACTGTTCTGTAACAGATAGTTATGTATAGTTTGTGTGCATGTTGGTTGTGAGACCTAGTCTATTGTATGCATGTTGATTGTGTGACCTAGTTTATTATGTGCATGTTGGTTGTGAGACCTAGTCTATTGTATGCATATTGATTGTGTGACCTAGTTTATTATGTGCATGTTGGTTGTGTGACCTAGTTTATTATGTGCATGTTGGTTGTGTGACCTAGTTTATTATGTGCATGTTGATTGTGTGACCTAGTTTATTATGTGCATGTTTGTTGTGTGACTTGTGTGTATATTGGTTGTATGACCTAGTTTATTGTGTGTGTTTGTGTGATCTAGTTGACTGGGGCATGTTTGTTGTGTGCCTTAATTAAAACGCACTTAGTGGATATGTGGCCTGTTAAACTCTGCGTGTGTGTGTGTGTGAGTGTGAGGGAGGGCTTTCTTTATTAAATTACAGATGAGGGAAGTTGGGTGAAGGTATGTGTGTGTGTGTGTATGTCTCTATGAAGTGAGTGGTATGTGAGGTCTAGCAAGTTGAAAGGTGTGGTCAATACTGCAGGTGTAAGATTAGTGCGAGGCAGATGAACCATGGAGTTATCTCCCTTATGTATGCATATGTGAAGACGGTGAAAGCAAGAGTGGATATGTTTGTTGTCTGTGAGCTTTAGATGTGATTATGATGCTGTTATGGTGTGCAAGGTTTTCTATTTTGTCAATTTTAATATATTTATATATTTTTCATGGTTTGTGATGTTGTAGATGTTAAATTATGGTGGCTTATACACTTTAACTCGTCATATATTGTATTAAAAACTCTGTAAATGTATTTGGTGAGATGAAATAAACAATTTCTTTCGCTCTAGATACATATACTGGGTGGACATTAGTTCTATACATATTTCGAACGGGACTTTGTTTTAAGTCAGATATGGTCCTCGAAAAAGGTAATCATGATTATGACAAGGACATACACTTTACACACAAATCAATTAAAAGTGATACAAACTCAAGCATAACGGCTTCTCACATGCTTACTTAGTAGGGAGGCCATATTAGCACATTTCGGTCATGGGTTTAGCTATTATCATGCATCATGACCAACTCTCCTCCAAGACCTTGTACTTACTAGGATGAAGTGTAGGGACAGGCTGGGTCAGGTGCCCCTCCTTCAACACGCTAAGCAACGTAGTCTTACCAGCATTGTCCAAACCAAGAAATATTAGTTTGCCTGATTTCCTGCCGAAGCCTGGATAGGTAGCAATGACATTTACTTGAAGCAATGGATGAAATATAATACAGTGTGAGGAGAGAGAAAACAAGTATTCTTAATGTAGTGGTTAAAATTGAATAAAAAGAAGTGTGACATAACCCTTGTCATAAAGGTTCAAGGGGACCCTCAACTGACACTTCACAGCAGCAGATCTAAAGAACACCCCTAAATTTCAAATAATGCTAACATGTTTCAAAGGTATAAAAGGCAATATACACCCTCTGTTGATTGTTTCTGAAGGACCATGCTCAGGATACATAGCAAGAGGACTCCATGATTCAAACATGACATTACATATCTGCAAAAGTCAACCTTTGATGGTGAATCAAGCAATAAATAACAATGTATATCAAAAGACAATCAATTGTCTTGAACTAGACTGGAAATAGGCTCATGATGTCAAAATAGTGGAAGAAAATCTCTCTTTAAAAGCAATGTTATATCAAAGTATAGACAAAAAACGTTTTTCTCAAACAGAAACTCAATGCGGATCAACCAAGCCTTTAAAGAAAAATAGAGAATGAATTTAAACACTGCCCAAAGCTTAAAGCCAGATGTATAAGTTGAAACATTATTTCACTTATATAGAAACATACATGCAAATGTATGTGGCTGCTTTTTACTAGCCTGGACAAATGCTAGTTTCATTGTGGGCTGCAGTCACACTGAAATACCAGACCACAGTTTAACAAGATGCCCTCTCCAAGCACTGAGACATTTTACACAACTGAGCTACCAAGTCCTTGCTTTATCACCTAATGTCACATGTCAGGGGGTTAACATCAAGTACCATCAGGTAAGACACAGCCAAGGGAATTGAACCCTGACCTTTCCCTCCATGGATACTTATGTGCCTATTGGATTGAATGCCACTCTAACCAGGGTACCATGGAAACAGAGGTTCAACCCCACTGACACTGACTATTAAAGTGTAAACCTGCCCCAAGGATATTGTTTCAAGCCACTTAATTTATTTTTTAATTCACAAAACAACCTTCCTTACAAAACGCTAATTGTCACTGAATGTAGGTACTTCTTGAAAAGGCAGCAAATGTTTGCTAATACTTACCTAAATAATTTAATACACCTGACACCATGTCCCATAAATAGGTGAACATCTTGAACTGTCTGAAAAGGGAAATCAGAATCTACAATCATGACTAAACAGAGTGATCAACATGGATATTGACTGTGACTATCATCATGCATTATTTTTCTAAATTTGAACATGTGTCCCATTATCAATTAAAATTATATATACTTTCGGAGCACCTTTAGAATACAGCACCACAACTTCTCATGAGGACGATCTCTGCCGTAGGTCACGTGTCATTAGGACAAGCAACCAGTTTGTGAGAACCCATCGGACGCGAAGCCGCGACCTTCGGATTGTTAGCTCGACAGCTAACCGACTGAGCTACATCCACACTGTTGCACAATGTGCAAATTTATCAAGTCGTTCCTGTGACGTCACGGAAATGAACGGAAAGAGTCGAATAGGTCATGGACAATTACGAAGGCTACGGGTAGACTTGGTGTCTCGTGATTTTAATCTATGGACAATTGCCGAATGGACCCGATGCCATTTGGCACACTCATCCCATTCCGTAATTACAAGATAACGTTTGGCGTGGAATGAGTCGATATGCCTCAAACTGAAAAGGGTTGACGTCAGGCGTCAGACTTAGATTTCACGGTGCATGCATGAATGACGCGCTTTCATATAAATCGGTGATTTTGTGACAGAAAAGTGATGTAGGTAAGCCCATTAGCCCAAAATTTCTACATTAAACCATTTCATAGAGTACTTTCGACAATTTTGGTTTCCCGTTTTTGTGTGAAAAAAAGTATTAAAATGCAAAAGGAAAAACAACAAATGGTACACACGTATTACACTGGACATGTACCTACTATATTGGATTAGGTCCCTAACCCTAACCCCTCAGCCTTAACCCTAACCCCTTGAAATAATCCTAATAAATAGAATGCATTGACCGAACTGGCACAAACATGACTGAGGTGTCAAGTGTAATCCATTATTACCACTTCGAAAAATAAAATACTAATAAATGGTGCAAATTACTGAATGAAAAAAATATATATGTATGTCAGTTCACATTGGTAGATCATTGAGACTTAATAGTTACTTAGAAACCAAATATAAAATATATTTACATAATTTAAATAATTACATTGACCAAACGAATAATCGAAAATATATAATATAGACCGGTGTAACGCATTCTCGCTAAATTTAAAAAATACAAAATACAATAATACACAAAACATAACACCCTGTAATACAAATAAATATGAGCGTATTAGTGAAAAACGAAAAATATTTCAAACTGGTGCTTCCAAAAAATTGCGCATCAGCCAGTATACAACTACTGGAAACTCTCAACATCGTTGGGCTTATGCAATGACATAGCTAGTAGAGATGAAACACCAGTGAGCAGAGCTAGACAACCGTGTTGCCATGCAGGCGTCATAGGGCATTGTTTCGAGAACGTACTTTCGAACAAAATCACATTACATTACGTAAAAGGGTATTATGACGTATTTTTAAAGTTTGTGGTGCTTTATTCTAAAGGTAGGCCATACTTTCAATTTGAGATGAATGCCAAGGGTTTAACCATCAAAACCACCAGTGTTTCAAGATTAAGAAGGGAGTTCTAGAATTTTCTAGTGTTTTTAAATACTACAGCAGCAAATATTGCAGGACACCTCTTAATTTCAAAGACCAAATACAAAAATATCCAACTGACAGAGACAAACCACATATTCTAACAATGAATAAATGTGTATGATGAAAGAATCTAAACTAGGTCACTAGTTCAGCCATCAAGCACAAAAATGTTGACATGTTTGATGTATGCACTTGTCAGTCAGGACCACTGCTATACCTGATACTGATGTCAGAAACAAAACTTATTGTTTATTCTAAAGATATACAAGCTTATTGTCCATGTTCTTGACATCTCGAACTTTTATATAGATCTAATTCTAATTACAACCTCTCACCATGTTTAGAGACAAGATACTGTTTTTGCCTCAGATAGATTACTGAATCACTTTTAAAAATATAAAAAAGCCAACGGTTTGGCCACTGCAGAGTGAAAATTGTACTGGCTAGCGAACAGTTATCGCCATTACATCAGTATCACACGTGCGCAGTTCCGGTCAATTACGATTCCGGTATTTTTTCCCCACAGTATTTGACAACAATAAAGGAAAGCAAAAGAAAATTCTTCACGGTAAGTAACATAAAAGAAAAATTAAAGATAAAGTTATGAACCCTATGAATTTTTTTCAACTTAGTCAGGGGATGTCCCACGACCTATATAATAGCAAGTTCAAGTTCACAAGTCATTAATTGTTTCATTCCCTATCAATCTACTGTAGAAGAAATGCTCAAATAGACACATAATCAAATATTCGAGGTTACTGTATGATATGAATATATAGTATTTCACGACGGCATGAGAAATTCGGAATGGCGATAACTGTTACAGTTAGTTGTGAGAAAACATCTGTTTATACTGCCATGATTCCCTTCCGCCGCATTAAATAAAAACATGATCGTCAGCACTGAACAGGCTGGACACATCGGGGAATAGCTAATTATGTATCATAATTCTGTTTCATTAATTCAATGAACGGCGGAGTAATTTTGTAAATACCGCTAAAATATGGCGATAACTGTTCGGTAGCCAGTAGTACTTTGAACATCAATTCAATGATGATTATGACATTTCCACAGACACATAATTATTTGTAAACAATAACATTCAGATTGACATGAAAAAACGCATGTTACAGTTACAACTTTTACAATTTTGTTCCAGCCGATCATTCTTCAATACCCTGATTGTTCTTTCATGCTATGTTTCCTAGATTAACACCAGGAATCATTAAAGTTCAAACAAACTAACATATGTTGCCAAGTGAAGATTAAAATCACATATTCAAACCTCAATTTTATCAAAACGAATACCCCTAATCGATAATGTTTCTTCTCATTTATCTCAACAACTGTAACTTCACCGTGTGTTATATAATCTAGTTACAGGGAACGTAAAAATAGCCAGAATCTACTCCACTTCTACGAGATCAACGTGACAAAATAACACGCAGTAGGGTATCATATTGGGGTTATAGCTAAAAGCGGCACCACAGCAGAGCGTCACCAAATTTGTGTGGCGAGCGGCACCATATTGGCGAAAACAGCTACTGATTTCTGGGCTAAAACGGCACCATATAAAAAACAAAGTAAGGCGTTGACTCATGTTTTATTTCATTTCATTATAACATTAGCAAGATTATATCAACATATGAGTCATTCTCAAAATCTGTGCATATTTATGTCAGATGTTTGTATCCGACAAACTTAAGTCAAAATCAAACCAAAAAATTATGGTAACTAACTTATCACAATATTTTCTACACTTTACAGTAACAAAGTAGGGAAACTATATTTTTTATATTTACTTTACACCACCCAATTTTACTCCATGTTCATGTGTCACAACTCTAGTGGCTGATGTCACAGATGTGGCATTTGAATTTTTGTATTTTTCATAAGCAATAAATATACAATTTCAAAACTCCATGTTATATTGTAAAACTAGATATTTTAATGTATAATGTACATGAAATAAATATTATCTTTGGATTTTTATTTTCAAAATGATGTTACAAATTTAAATTAGCGGCAGTGACACAATTTCAGGAAATGTCTAATAAAAATGGTAAAATATGAAAATGAAACATCATTAAGCTTGCATAATATATGTTATGTATATTCAGAAAAGTTATTATGTTATGTATACCCAAAAGAAAAAATCCCCATAAAACCAAAAACTAACAAACAATGCAGAGCTCAGATAAGATTTAGCTCATGTGGGTACCATTACCCACTGTATTTTTTAGATTGGGTATTATGAATGTTGAGTGGGTATTTCATTTTCCGTTACCCACTGCTTTCAAATATTTTAATGTATTTCAGTCATTTTACTCACTTAAAGTATTATGTCATTGAGTAAGTTTACTAAGCAGATATGTTCTGCCTCATGTCATACCTAATCAAAACCAACTTAAATATAATGGAAATGATTTCATAAAAATCACTCATCCTATACTGACAGTACAACACTTGTCCTATACTAACAACAGTACAACTTGATAGCAATCGATGTCTTTTTCATTCACGGCAGCGATTTTTATAAATATACTCCGTGCGCATTTGTTTTAAACATTTTGCGTATTTAACATTTTAAATCGTAAATGGTAATGCATAACAATTATTTTTTCAATGCGTTTGGAAATTTTCTATCGTATTATTTTACCCGGATCACGCGGCGTATCTGGGCCTCTGAACAATGGGTTGTTGTTATTTGCTTAATTAACGTCCGCGACTGACAACTAAGGTATTTCGGGCGACGGTTAACAATGGGTACATTTATCCGTTTTAATACAATTGCATTTTGACACTGAGTTTGACACTGGGCGATATCAGTTGAGTAAATGTACTTAAAACATCAAAGCGTCACGATGTTTTCAATGCTAAATTGGGATGCCCTTTCCAATCACTGTCGGCACAGTAGATGTATTTACTATCTACACTTTCTGCAATCCGATTGTCAGCTATGGGATGCCCACTTCCAATCACTATCGGCACAGTAGATATATTTGGTTTAAGCACATTTTTATTTCGTCAAAGAAACCTGGATAGGCTTAACAAGCCTAGTGGCTTATATAGGCGCTTAACTCCATTACATTGTTCAAATAGCTGGATACATAATTGAAATAATTTGACAACAAAAGAAAAATACTGTGACAAAATAACAGATAAATGATTGAATAATAAATATGTTCGGCATAGTGTTGGATATGCCTAGCAACGAAATGAGCAGCGGCAGAAAATCAAATATATAAATTTCCCTTACATTGAATATATACGTAGATTTGATAATTACTGTAAGCGGTTACTTTTTGAAATGAACTGTTGTAATGAGTTAAGAATATCACTAATAGTTGAGTTATTCAATGCTACCGTTACAGTATAAAGTAGTTTTCACATCGTGATCCTTGAATAAAAAAATACATCCTTTGTTCTTAAATTTTGATAGTTCCGACATAATAGTAGATGTATTTATTATCTGCAATCCGATTATCTTATAACAAACTAGTTTTCCCATAAGATTTTAGTTTGTGCCGTTTTCGCCATAAGATTTGTAGCCGTTTTAAGCCAAAGTCGAGGGTTCCGTTATGTCCAAATGGTGCCGTTTTAAGCTAGGTGTGCGTTTTGCTGTGGTTCCGCTTTTAGCCTGCACCCCTTTACTTTAGGGTTATAGCTAAAACGGCACCACAGCAGAACGTCACCAAATTTGTAATGGCTTAAACGGCACCATATTGGCGAAAACAGCTACTGATTTCTGGGCTAAAACGGCACCATATAAAAAACAAAGTAAGACGTTGACTCATGTTTTATTTCATTTCATTATAACATTAGCAAGATTATATCAACATATGAGTCATTCTCAAAATCTGTGCATATTTATGTCAGATGTTTGTATCCGACAAACTTAAGTCAAAATCAAACCAAAAAAATTATGGTAACTAACTTATCACAATATTTTTCTACACTTTACAGTAACAAAAGTAGGGAAACTATATTTTTATATTTACTTTACACCACCCAATTTTACTCCATGTTCATGTGTCACAACTCCAGTGGCTGATGTCACAGATGTGGCATTTGAATTTTTTTGTATTTTTCATAAGCAATAAATATACAATTTCAAAACTCCATGTTATATTGTAAAACTAGATATTTTAATATATAATGTACATGAAATAAATATTATCTTTGGATTTTTTATTTTCAAAATGATGTTACAAATTTCGTAACGGCAGTGACACAATTTCAGGAAATGTCTAATAAAAATGGTAAAATATGAAAAATGAAACATCATTAAGCTTGCATAATATATGTTATGTATATTCAGAAAAGTTATTATGTTATGTATACCCAAAAGAAAAAATCCCCATAAAACCAAAAACTAACAAACAATGCAGAGCTCCAGATAAGATTTAGCTCATGTGGGTGCCGTACCCACTGTATTTTTTAGATCCGTTATTATGAATGTTGAGTGGGTATTTCATTTTTCCGTTACCCACTGCTTTCAAATATTTGCGTATTTCAGTCATTTTACTCACTTAAGTATTATGTCATTAGAGTAAGTTTACTAAGCAGATATGTTCTGCCTCATGTCATACCTAATCAAAACCAACTTAAATATAATGGAAATGATTTCATAAAAATCACTCATCCTATACTGACAGATTACAACACTTGTCCTATACTAACAATTACAACTTGATGTAATCGATGTCTTTTCATTACGCAAGCGATTTTTATAAATATACTCCGATGCGCATTTGTTTTAAACATTTTGCGTATTTAACATTTTAAATCGTGAAATGGTAGTGCATAACAATTATTTTTCAATGCGTGTTTGGAAATTTTCTATGCGTATTTTACCCGGATCGCGCTGGCGTATCTGGGCCTCTGAACAATGGGTTGTTGTTATTTGCTTAATTAACGTCCTTAGACGCTTTGGCTACTAAGGTATTTGGCGTGACGGTTAACAATGGGTACATTTATCCGTTTTAATACAATTGCATTTTGACACTGAGTTTGACACTGGGGCGATATCAGTTGAGTAAATGTACTTAAAACATCAAAGCGTCGCGATGTTTTCACGCTAAATTGGGATGCCCTTTCCAATCACTGTCGGCACAGTAGATGTATTTACTATCTACACTTTCTGCAATCCGATTGTCAGCTATGGGATGCCCACTTCCAATCACTATCGGCACAGTAGATATATTTGGTTTAAGCACATTTTTATTTCGTCAAAGAAACCTGGATAGAAGCGAACAAGCCTAGTGGCTTATATAGGCGCAACTCCATTACATTGTTCAAATAGCTGGATACATAATTGAAATAATTTGACAACAAAAGAAAAATACTGTGACAAAATAACAGATAAATGATTGAATAATAAATATGTTCGGCATAGTGTTGGATATGCCTAGCAACGAAATGAGCAATGACGAGAAAATCAAATATATAAAATTTCCCTTACATTGAATATATCACGTAGATTTGATAATTACTGTAAGCGGTTACTTTTGAAATGAACTGTTGTAATGAGTTAAGAATATCACTAATAGTTGAGTTATTCAATGCGCCGTTACCGTATAAAGTAGTTTTCCACATCGTATCCTTGAATAAAAAAAATACATCCTTGTTCTTAAATTTTGATAGTTCCGACATAATAGTAGATGTATTTATTATCTGCAATCCGATTATCTTATAACAAACTAGTTTTCCCCATAAGATTTTAGTTTGTGCCGTTTTTCGCCATAAGATTTGTAGCCGTTTTCGCCAAGTCGAGGTTCCGTTATGTCCAAATGGTGCCGTTTTCGCCAGGTGCCGTTTTGCTGTGGTTCCGTTTTAGCCTGCACCCTCATATTGCATCTGGAACGTCCAGGCTACAGATTAATGAAAAAAAACTAGGCCTAATGGGTACACGTTTAAGATCTTGATCTTAAATCATATAAGTTGATGATGGATAGGTGAAGGTAACCTATATTAAACGATGACAGGCAAAAAGCTGTTAAAAAATTACTTTCATTTCAAAAACCACGTCGAAAATTGGACGCAAGGTGGTTGAAAGATGAAATGTGAATAACAAAACTATACAAAATAAGATCCTGTACTTACTTGTCTCTCTGACTGATATTAAAGAATATGAGGACCCGAGTGTAAGTGTATCAGAGGATTCGGATTTAAGTGTTGTCTATCTTTCCGATAGCAAATACGTGACACAAAATGGCTGCATCTACGTGCCCGTGACGTATTTCCTGCGCCAGTGAAACGAACACAGCAATTGGTTGATGTCTTACCACTAGCCAGTGAAAAGTCAGTTTACATTTGGTAATGTTGTGAGTGCAGAATGATCGCAGAACTGACAGCATGGCCTCAGTGTTGTGTCAGGTGTGTGGTGTAAATGTGGTTACGTCAATAAAAACAGCAACCCCTATTGCAAGTATACAAATTACAGTAGTGGGATTTAGTGTAGATTATATTGCGTGACCGGCATAAGGGACATTAGCGACACTGTATCGCCTCCGAGTTGACCTTTCGGACAGACTGTCCGGTTTTCAACCAATAAATGTTTACACTTAATAATGCTGCCAAGTCGAATGAAATGCTTATTCGATGTTATTAATTGACTGACTGACTGAGTTTGGTTTTACGCCGCTTTTAGCAATATTCCAGCAACATCACGGCGGGGGACACCAGAAATGGGCTTCACACATTGTACCCATGTGGGGATTCGAACCCGGGTTTTTGGCGTGACGAGCCAACGCTTTAACCATTAGGCTACCCCACCGCCCCTGTTATTAATTGAATTGAAAACGATGTTGCGTGGATTTTAATACTTCAGATTCATTTCTACTTCATATCTGAATACAATTTCATTTATTCCTCCGTACAATTGGTGTGCAGAGGCAGCTAAGCAAAACTAACAGCACCTACTCCAGTTGGCACACAAGCAAATGCCAATTATCTTTGGCTAACGCTCGAAACTGCAACATGGAATTGTCTTATTACATCAAAGATACAATTGCCTTCCTTATTCAATGGTGAAAGGACATGTCTAGAGCTGAATCAGCATCCGTCCGTTTTATATTTTCACATTTTGACTTTATCCTACCAATCTGAATGAAGGATGTGTTGGTTTTTGAGGCAATTTTAAGTAATAATTCTTGAGCAGTACAGCTCCTTTTCTATGACCATTTCAGTCTGAAATTTGAATCTTATCCAAATAAAATCAACAAATATACTCTTTGTAGTAGACCTGGATGTAGGAGCTAAAAACAACAGGATTTGTAAGAAATCCTTAATAATATGTAACAGATTATATGTATATTTCTGTGCTTTCATAACTCTATGCGTCATAGGTTGCATGCATATAGTTTTCAATAAAATATGGCTTGCTATCCAAGATTTTCTTGCTGCAGATGTACTGGCTCAAATTTGTGTAGCCTGTAAATAATGTCACAGTTTTCAGCAGTGACATATTACACATGACATAAGACATAATTGTGTATGAAAGGATAGCTTGACTATCTTTATTACTCAATTTCCAGGTACGAAATCGGGTGCCCTGTCTCATCAAGCTTGCCGAGTTACAGATGAGGGGTGTAACCACAACAGCCTGTGTGTGTAAAAACATCCGGTCTGGTGTTCCAAAAATATCCATCAAGGGAGACAAAGCTTTGACGTATGAAGAAGCCAATCCTCCTCAAATGATAGGTGTCCGCAAGTCATGGAACACCTGGAACACAAGTAGGTCTCTTGGAGATTAGTGGGGTTTGGGGAGGTTAGGGGGATTAGTGGTGTTTTGGATTATGGATATCGGTGGTGTCATGTACGTCATTTGTGTCACCATGGTTGTGTCACCATGGTTGTTAGTCGTTTTCCTGGAGCTTAAGGGTGCGATGGAGACTATTGGTGTCATGGAAATCTGTGGTTTCATGTAAATCAGTTGTTAGTGTTCCCATCAGTTTTTTAAACTCTCAGTCCCAAGAAATAAAATAAAAATTACCGGTCCCTCAAATGTTTGCCAGTCCAAAGCACATCACTTATAGTTCCGATTCAGTTTTATGCCTCAGGAGCATGTAGAGTGAAGTGTGAATTTATGTAGTGTTAGTTTGTGTGGCTGGCAAAATAGAATTTCCAGACCCATGCAGATCCGGGTTAGAATTGGTCCTCAGCAACCCATATTTGTTGTAAGAGACAACTAACGGGATCGGGTGGTCCGGCTCACTGACTAAGTCTTGGTTGACACATGTCATCGTATCCCAATATGTGTAGATCGATGCTCATGCTGCTGATCACTGGATTGTCTGGTCCAGACTCCATTATTTACAGACTGCTGCCATAAAGTTGGAATATTGCTGGATGCAGCGTTAAACAGCAAACAAAGAATTTCCAAATGGAACATGAAGTTGGGTTTTTTTCCAGTCCATATGATTTTGTCAGCTGTATAGGCAATGATGACTCAAATTTAGTGTATGTCACATCATACTTTCTCCCTCAAGCTAACATTACTTGATATGAATCAAATACTTTCAGACTAATGTTAAACCAATTGTTTGATCAGCATTCTCGAAGTTTCGAGGTAAATAATAAAGCATACAACTTTAATGATGACAACTTCTTGTTTAATGCAAAGAACAATATTGATAACAGTGTAAGTATCTACATCAAAACATCACTATATGCAACATACAAGAAGTTGTCACCCAAACGTTGTATGTTTCACTAATGTTAAACCAACGTCACTCAGCTTGACAACAGTGTAAGTATCTACATCACAACATCACTATATGCAACATACAAGAAGTTGTCACCCAAACGTTGTATGTTTCACTAATGTTAAACCAACGTCACTCAGCTTGACAACAGTGTAAGTATCTACATCACAACATCACTATATGCAACATACAAGAAGTTGTCACCCAAACGTTGTATGTTTTGCTAATGTTAAACCAACGTCACTCAGCTTGACAACAGTGTAAGTATCTACATCACAACATCACTATATGCAACATACAAGAAGTTGTCACCCAAACGTTGTATGTTTCACTAATGTTAAACCAACGTCACTCAGCTTGACAACAGTGTAAGTATCTACATCACAACATCACTATATGCAACATACAAGAAGTTGTCACCCAAACGTTGTATGTTTCACTAATGTTAAACCAACGTCACTCAGCTTGACAACAGTGTAAGTATCTACATCACAACATCACTCAACATACAAGAAGTTGTCACCCCAAACGCGTGTATGTTTCACTACAAGAAGTTAAACCAACGTCACTCAGCTTGACAACAGTGTAAAACGTATCTACATCCACAACATCACTATATGCAATGTTGTCACCCAAACGTTGTATGTTTCACTAATGTTAAACCAACGTCACTCAGCTTGACAACAGTGTAAGTATCTACATCACAACATCACTATATGCAACATACAAGAAGTTGTCACCCAAACGCGTTGTATGTTTCACTAATGTTAAACCAACGTCACTCAGCTTGACAACAGTGTAAGTATCTACATCACAACATCACTATATGCAACATACAAGAAGTTGTCACCCAAACGTTGTATGTTTCACTAATGTTAAACCAACGCCACTCAGCTTGACAACAGTGTAAGTATCTACATCACAACATCACTATATGCAACATACAAGAAGTTGTCACCCAAACGCTGTATGTTTCACTAATGTTAAACCAACGCCACTCAGCTTGACAACAGTGTAAGTATCTACATCACAACATCACTATATGCAACATACAAGAAGTTGTCACCCAAACGTTGTATGTTTCACTAATGTTAAACCAACGTCACTCAGCTTGACAACAGTGTAAGTATCTACATCACAACATCACTATATGCAACATACAAGAAGTTGTCACCCAAACGTTGTATGTTTCGCTAATGTTAAACCAACGTCCACTCAGCTTGACAACAGTGTAAGTATCTACATCACAACATCACTATATGCAACATACAAGAAGTTGTCACCCAAACGTTGTATGTTTCGCTAATGTTAAACCAACGTCACTCAGCTTGACAACAGTGTAAGTATCTACATCACAACATCACTATATGCAACATACAAGAAGTTGTCACCCAAACGTTGTATGTTTCGCTAACGTTAAACCAACGTCACTCAGCTTGACAACAGTGTAAGTATCTACATCACAACATCACTATATGCAACATACAAGAAGTTGTCACCCAAACGTTGCATGTTTCGCTAATGTTAAACCAACGTCACTCAGCTTCATAACAGTGTAAGTATCTACATCAAAACATCACTATATGCAACATACAAGAAGTTGTCACCCAAACGTTGCATGTTTCGCTAATGTTAAACCAACGTCACTCAGCTTGATAACAGTGTAAGTATCTACATCACAACATCACTATATGCAACATACAAGAAGTTGTCACCCAAACGCGTTGCATGTTTAAGCTAATGTTAAACCAACGTCACTCAGCTTGATAACAGTGTAAGTATCTACATCACAACATCACTATATGCAACATACAAGAAGTTGTCACCCAAACGTTGCATGTTTCGCTAATGTTAAACCAACGTCACTCAGCTTGATAACAGTGTAAGTATCTACATCACAACATCACTATATGCAACATACAAGAAGTTGTCACCCAAACGTTGCATGTTTCGCTAATGTTAAACCAACGTCACTCAGCTTGACAACAGTGTAAGTATCTACATCACAACATCACTATATGCAACATACAAGAAGTTGTCACCCAAACGCTTGTATGTTTTCGCTAATGTTAAACCAACGTCACTCAGCTTGACAACAGTGTAAGTATCTACATCACAACATCACTATATGCAACATACAAGAAGTTGTCACCCAAACGTTGTATGTTTCGCTAATGTTAAACCAACGTCCACTCAGCTTGACAACAGTGTAAGTATCTACATCACAACATCACTATATGCAACATACAAGAAGTTGTCACCCAAACGTTGTATGTTTTAGCTAATGTTAAACCAACGTCCACTCAGCTTGATAACAGTGTAAGTATCTACATCACAACATCACTATATGCAACATACAAGAAGTTGTCACCCAAACGTTGTATATTTCAAGCTAATGTTAAACCAACGTCCACTCAGCTTGACAACAGTGTAAGTATCTACATCACAACATCACTATATGCAACATACAAAGAAGTTGTCACCCAAACGTTGTATGTTTCGCTAATGTTAAACCAACGTCACTCAGCTTGACAACAGTGTAAGTATCTACATCACAACATCACTATATGCAACATACAAGAAGTTGTCACCCAAACGTTGTATGTTTCGCTAATGTTAAACCAACGTCACTCAGCTTGACAACAGTGTAAGTATCTACATCACAACATCACTATATGCAACATACAAGAAGTTGTCACCCAAACGTTGTATGTTTCGCTAATGTTAAACCAACGTCACTCAAGTTAAATCCAAGTACAGACCAATGTGACACACTTTATGTACAGTACTAGTATATGGCATGTGCTTTGTTTCAGGTAATTTGAAGGGTGAAGGTCGGAGGTCAGAGACAACTGTGGAGGATATCTTCATTCGTCGATTCATCAAGGGCACATTTCCCACTCTGGTAGCATCAGAAGTGATCATAAAGAGGCGACACAATATCATCACCATCACGACCATGATGTATCAAAACATCAACGCACAAAAGATGTACTTCCTGTGGGGGTACACTGAAGAGATTCTCTCCTACTTCCTCAAGTGTCCAGTCAAGCTGGATATTCAGACTGTCACAAATAAGGATGACATTATTTTTAAACATATATAATGTGTGTGTGTTTGCAAAGACATATAGAGACACTAACAAGTGCGTTTTGTTGTATGGATCTTATATACTGGGAATGAGATGATAGCGAAATAAAAATTCAGAAAAACAACAACAGGGCTTTGTAGCTTTAATGGAATACTGATGCATGTCATTCAATACAAGGCTAGAAATCAATATGCAAAAAAGTAACAAATTTCTTGACAATATGTAGCATCACTGCATGTGTGTTATGTTAAACTTATCCATGATAAATACTAAATGGATGTTGACATCAAAGATCAAAGCTTTTTATGCTGAAAATGGATGAAAGACTAAATGAGCATACTGCAAACTTCAGTAATTTTATCAGCCACAGGCAGGTTCAATCATGGGAGGCGTCACATTAATGATGGTACTTGTCACCTGGTGTGCCATTCAGGGAATGGAACTACAACTGGACAGATTGGAGACAGTGTATTGTGTCTGGATGTGGTATCCATGTTAGAACTGCAGTGTGGTCTCTCGGAGGCAAGCACTTTATAAACAGCATCAGCAAACAAATGCCACATTAAACCTTATTTCAGGGTACTTGTGTTGCTTACCATAACATACCTGGAGAACATTGGGATGTTATTTCTGATCAGCTACATGTGTCCCTGAACTGATCATTGCAAGGCTCACATCATTAGTGAGTGATTGAGTTTGGTTTTATGCTGCTTTAAGCAATAATCAATCAATACCCAACAGGGGACACCAGAAATGGGTTTACACTTGTACCGATGTGGGGGCTTGAACCCGGGTCTTCGGCTTTAACCACTACCCTGGCTACACCACCACCCCGGTCACATCATTAAGCAACTAGGGACGCTTTATGGTTTTGTTTGAGTTTGAATGCAACAGCCGCTGGAGATTCAGTGCTTGTACATCCCAGTGTTAAATCTTATATGTTATAGCTCTGGGGACTTTGTTTCAGGGCCGGTGGGGTAGCCTTGTGGCTAAAACATTCGCCTGTCACACCAAAACCTGGATTCAATTCCCCACATGGGTGCAATGTGTGAAGCCCATTTCTGGTGTTCCCTGCCATGATATTGCTAAAAGTGGCCTAAAACCATACTCACTCACTAGTTTGTTTCACACATCAAGAGGCTTTTACCATATGTCAGTGAACTTTAATAAGTAGCATGCTTTGGGAGGGGTAGTGATCTGAAGACTGAAAAAAAAATTGGAGTGTCCACCACACTCGAGAACACATTTAAGGATGTTTGATATTTCACTATTTTTCCTCTATTCCGCAGGCTTTATAGAAGTCTAATACATGAATTGGTTATATTGTCTGAATACTTATGTGAGTGGTCTCGGGTTTCACGAAAGTGGTCAACATCCAATACACATCATTTTGGGCTTGACTCCCACATCAAGCTGAAATCCCAGGATATAACTGGATACTGTTCAGAGCAGTATTAAACTCAACTCACTCACTCACTTATATGTGAAATGTGATGATGGTCTTTTGTAATCAGAGTAGGTCACTGTGATGTACTTTCAATGACTAGGTTATGCATGCCATATCCTGAATGACACTGAATGCTGTCCCAAGAAAGATTTACTTTCAGATCAATTAATTTTGGTTCATGTGAGCCTTTGGCTGGGACCCTCATGTAATGTCAAAGTGGAGGTATGTTTTTATTTATATCTGCCCTTGTCTAGAGGTATGTTGGTAAAGAGTTCCGCCCGTAACCTTGATTGAAATATATTCAATTTATTTGGATTATTTCGAGGGGTTTGGGTTTAGGGTTAGGTGTAGTAATAGAATGGGGGTTTTGCATCAGATGCGGCTTAGAAGCTTCTTTTTATGAACTAAGTTCCCCAGCCCCCCTTAAAAACGGCGATGGTCTATCGAGAGGCATCCTTCGATGTGCCGTCAGCCTAGACCCAAAGTTCCGAGCATTGAAGTATTAGCCGGCTCGCCAGTGTGATGGTTAGAGTGTTGGACTCATAATCTAGGGTTCACGCAAGGTATCTGTAATATTGAGGGATAACTTTGTGGATGGGGTCTACCATAAACTCGTCCAAGTAAGCTACGGAGTAGGTGGAGTACGGGGCGATGGGTTCCCTGGTTGTCAGGCTATAATCGACTAACGTATCCATGAGACGTTGTAACCGTTCGGTGCCCACTAGACCTAAACTATTGTACAGGCTGGTGAATTTCCCTCGACTTATGACTCGACGAAGGGCGGCGTAAATATCGAGGCCACTGACGTCCACCCTGACACGTCTGAACAACCGTTTCTCGATCAATCTCCACATGTTGATAATGAGATACATAAGAAGAATCTTTAATAAGAAGGGGGTAATACAGTGTCGTGAGGGACGATCATCAATTCCTCTCTGACGAATCCCCTACCCGGTCCGTCTTGCAAATAATACAGAGTCAGTTCGTCGTCTTTGATGTCCACTCAGTCGATGCGGTATGTTTTCATGGACCATACGGGGTCTGTGGCACGACGTTTATCCCCTCCTTCGAGTTCAGTGGGCTGGTACAGATACCTCACGATGACCCGGTCAGGTGTTTTTTTCTCTTAGCCGTGATGTGATGGCGCAGCTGATTCGATCGTCACGGATTTCATTCGAATGGCTTCGACGGGTCTTTTATCGAGGAGTCGAGTGACTTCGTTGTTGATCGCCGACACCACTTGCGGTAAGCGTACGACCCATTCCATCGATCGTTTTTCTGGGTTGACCATCTCTCGGGCATACTGATGTCCGAACAAACGCTCAGCTAAAGTCCTGTTGAATCTTTCGACGATGGCTTGGCTTCGGTGAGCTCCAGCCACGCCTCGTCTCACCTGGACTTTATGCTTCGATAACAGCTGCGACACGGCTCCCATGAACTCGCGTCCAGGATCGACTTGCAATACGGCAGGCCAGGTCAAGCGACTGCGTTTGTAGATGTGTTCTAAGGCCTTAGCGACTTGACTCGAATCTTTGGTCGTTAACAGCTCTGCTTCCTTGTAGCGACTGGCATCGTCCACGACGGTCAGGGCGTACTTGTACGTTTTGTTTCTCGCCCTGTCTGCGGGAGAAACAGGAGGTCAGCTTGATGGGTACGATTGGGTATGGAAATGTCAAACTTTCTTCTCGGGATGTATCGGGGAGCCGGCAGGTACACTTGCATGATGGCTTGTTTTTCAAGCCAAGCTTTGGCGGTATCCTCGGAGACGCGAGCGGCTGTGGCCAGCTTCGGGATGGCGCTCACACCTTTCCAGTAACCCCGAGGGCTGTAGTAAACCTTTTCCATGATGTATACACGCTATCGTTCATTCAATTGTCTCGACGCATCGAGTGGAGTTTCCTTTATTGGGGGTCTCGGAAACTTCAAACGGGTCGAGGCCTACTGTTGGTACCCTTAGCTATAAGTGTGGATGCCATCGTTCGCAATCCATCGTTTGGTATCCATGGGCGTGATTGTGATTCCATAGATGTTGTGTTTGTCGCTTCTCAACGCGTTCATGGGGTGTTTGAACGTGTGTTTATCGAAGAGAGCCTGTTTGAAGAGAGTGTGTTTGATGTGGTGTTTCACCACGTATTTCTTGACCCCTTTCACCTTTCGGATTTCGTCGTGATCGGCTTTCTTAATAGAATACATCTTAGGTCTTAACCCAACGTACTCGGCGATCGGTGTGCCGGTGCTTTCTTCTTTCATTTTGCCAAGGACTTTTTTATTGGCTTGGCTGTGGATTTGATGGTCTTTCGGATAGTCGCTGGTGTCGTACAAATCGATGTGTTTCACTATGTCCTCGTATAGTCCTCGGCGCGTATATTCAACAACAAGGAATCGGTGTCGGTGTGCAGCAGCTCACACCGATTGCCGTACTGTGGCTTGAGTTGGTTGTAATAAAAATCGTACATCAAATGTTTGGACAGGCCGAGAATGCTCATCCCCAGGTAAATGGGTCGGTTGAGCTTGATATGGCTTTTGTTCATGTGGAGAGCCGCCAAGTCATTATCGAACAGTTTACTTCGATTGAAGGCTGGGCTGGCTATCAACTTCCTGAGTTTTTCTTCCTCGTGAGTTTGACCGTCACTCATCTTCTTAAATTTTCCATGGTTTTGCCAAACACCAAATTGTTCATGAGTTTGTAGAGATTTTTCTCAAAGTCGCTCGTGGCTTGTTTTCGCAGCTCGGTGTTCAACCGAATGTAAGGTTCCATCCAGGGACTTTGATTAAATTTGAGCACCCGATGTATTTTTTTCAGCTTCATGCCCAGCGATAAGTACAGTTGCAGATTCCGATAGTGCACCACGTACTTAGTCTTGTGCATTAAGTTAGGGAAGAGTTTTTCCACGTTGGCCAGCTTATTTTTCCCGAGCAACGTTAGTTGATAGTCTGACATCCAGTCTCGGTTCATCTTCAACCGTTCGGGAGCCAGCGGATAGCTGTTGTGAGCAGCATGGAGTTCCGCGGGATAGTCCAAGTCCACTTCGAGGATGTAGCCTTTGTTCGAATCCGGCATGATGCTCATGATATCAATCTCATCATCCAACCACGCGAATCTCCCGGTGGGTAGAGACCGGTTCATGGCCCAGGCGCACAGGTTGTTGGCGTCGAGATAGAGGAGATGATTGGTGGGCTTGCTCGAGTCGTAGGGCCACCATCGCATCTGCTCCCTTAGGTCTTTGAGCACCGAGTTAAATTTTTGCGTCAGCACCCAAACGCTGTGTTTCGTGTGCCGGCCCGAGAAGGCCAGGTACGACAGCATGTCTCTTTTTTTTTGACCATGTCCTTGTTGGCGCTGCAGTCGTCCAGGAGGAACAGCGTCGACTCCCCTTTCAATTTACCGTGATAAGCAGTCAACCAGTCCAGCACGAAAGCCGTTTAACCGCACCTCGTCTGACCACACACGATGGTGCATTGTGGATCCAGGGGCAGTTCGATATCACTAGATGGCTTGCACGAATCTTCCATTGTCTATATTAAGCTGCACATCCATGATCACGTACACATATAAATTTAATTTACCGGTGGTTTGAGCCTTCTTGGTGATTTGGATGGTGATCCCCTCGCTGCCATTCTTGATGCGATGCCCACTACCGTGCAACCGATCGTCGTCCATGGATCACATGTCCAGCCAC